GCTGCAGAAGGAAATGGCAAACTACTCCAGTATCTTTGCCAAGGAAACCGCAAATGGGATCATAAATGACTGAACAACTACTCATCACAGTCCTGATAACAGAAATGGGAAACAACAGACAGGAGTATAGCCTGGAGATATAGAATCCTTAAGAATTATTAAACACAGATCCCTTCCCTGGTTTTGGGCTGGGGATTAGTACATGGAGGTACTATGGAAAGACCACTGGTTGGGGAATTGAAGGCCCTGATTTCAAATTCCACTTCTGATGTACACTACCTGTATGACCTTGGACAAGTCATCTAAGATCCATGGGCATGAATATGCTTATCTGTAAAATGAAGGGGTTAGGTGAAATGACATAAAATGTCCAAGCTAGCTCTAAATCTATCATCTTACAGACTCTATGGTCCCTCCATCATTCTGACAGCTAACAGCCTTGGGTACCTTGAATAGGCCAACCCAAGGGCCAGGGAGAGTAAATTAAGGAACAATTCCACTGCTTTGCCAGCCCATGGGTAAATAGAGAATGTTCCCCTTAAGAGAAGACTCCAATCCATTGTATTAATGGGGAGAAAATACATTGAGTTTGGGGTCAATTTTCCTGAATAGGAGCTTCCACAGGAGGATAGAAACAGTGCATCTTAGTGAAAAAAAAAATCACTGCCTTTAGAGCAAGTAAATCATGAGAGTTTAAGTCTGAAGGAATCTTAAAGATGGTCTAGGCAGGGGTTCTTAATATATAAAAAAAGTATATATAATATGCAGTGAATTGAAGTAGAAGAATGTATTAGCAACAGGAGTGATCAAAAGAGGCCTCATAGAAGAGGTGGCACACAAGCTGAGCCTTGAAAATAAAACAGAAATTTATCAGAACAACATCAGGAAGGTGTTCTGAGGATGCAGGATGCAGGATTTGTTTTTCCTCCTACATCTTCCAATGAGGAACCTCTGAAATTAGCTAGGCTGAATCACTAAGGACAAGCTTTTGATGAAAGGAAAGCCATTCCCCCTTGGTCTGACCTATCCCATTTGCATGAGCATCATTCATTTATTCAACAACCTATTCATTTTGTGACTTCTATGTGCCTAGTACTGTGCTAGAGCCTGGGAATACACACACACAAAAAATGAAATAGTCTAAAATTGATGAAATGTCCATTGTGTACAGGGTATTGGGCTGTGCTGCCTTAATGGAGCTTCCAGGACACTATAGACATAGCCTTTGATTCATGTAAATTAAATATAAATAAATAACAATAAAATAAACTAGGGACTTGGCCTGGGACTTCATAGAGACAGGGAATTCACAGATAAAGAAACTCCTTTTGCTGATGGAGGTTGACACCTTTTGTAAACTTATAGACTTAATCTACAGGAGTCCTTAACCAGAAGTTAAAACACAGTGACCTTGTGTTTTAAATATTTTAATAACTGCATTATACTATAATGGGTTCCTTTGTAATGCTATGTTCATCTTATGCATTTAAAAACATTGTTCTGAGAAGGGGTCCATTGGCTTCACCAGACTTCCAGAAGAGTCCGTCACACACACACACACAAGAGAGAGAGAGAGAGAGAGAGAGAGAGAGAGAGAGAGAGAGAGAGAGAGAGTGACTACTGGTTCTTACTGGTCTGTATCTGACTGAGGGGAGGACTATGTAACTCAGGTCTTCCTAGCACCATGGCCAGCTCCCTATCCACCAGGCCACCGTGCTTCTCCATAAATTAAAGAAAATATAATACAGTTCTTCAGAAAGTTATACTCTATATCCCCCCACCTCTTGATGTGGTTGCCAATTCCTACTGTAGCAAGTTCTCCTCGCTGTCAGGTATCGTGACATCTGGATGTTGCTTCCATGTTGGTGTGATTGTGGGCAGCGTGAAGAATACGCTTATGAAAAACCCCCTACCACTTTACTAGCACATCTAAAATTCCACCATTGAAGATTGCTTCCTTTGGACACTGTCTCCAAAAGGCCCCAGTTAAAATTCAGACAGTTACCTGTAAGAGAGAGGACAGATGCCATTAAGAATACTTCTCCAATCATTTTATCAGATTGGCTACAAGGGCCAAGAATCCTCCCTTGCTCCCACCCGCCGCCCGCCTGGTGGGGAGGAAACCGGGGGTCAGAAGAAGTGTGTGTCGCTTTAAAGGCTCCCCGCTCCGCTCGGCCCGGCCCCCTTCTCTGACAGTGCAGAGAGGCTGGGCTGCCTTTAGCTGAGCCATCGCCCAGCGCCGCCAGTCTAGCAGGAGGCAGAGCTGCCCGCCCGCCCGCCTGCCAAGCCGGCTCCCTGGCACCGCGGTTCCGTGCCCGTCCCCCCAGAATCAGGGGACAGGGAAGATAGCGGCCCGCGGACCGAGAGGCCCCGAGGTGCCTGGAGAGGACCCATTCTGCTCTCCCCATCCTCCTCCTCCTCCTCTTCCTTCTCTGGATTTGGAAAGGCACTGCACGCCGTTCCTGTGGAAGGAGGAGCGAGTTCCCGTTCCCGCAGCCCCATGGCTGGCTTCCCTTGCGGATGGGCTGGGAACCCAGGCATCCAGAGCTGCCCAGCTAGGCTCTGCTGACAGCCTAAGGGTGTTGAGGAGTTAAAACCCCAAGAGGAGGCTTCAGAGCCCCAGAGGGGCGCCTTCCTCCGCTGGGCTCCCCTCGGGGCCCCCGGAACAGCGCAGCGCAGGGCGCTCTGTGCGTGTGTGTGTGTGTGTGTGTGTGTGTGTGTGTCCGCGTGAGCGTGAGTGCGTTCGGGTGTGCGCGTGTTTGTGATCTGTGTATGTGTTGATTGTGTGTGTGTCCGCGTGAGCGTGAGTGCGTTCGGGTGTGCGCGTGTTTGTGATCTGTGTATGTGTTGATTGTGTGTGTGTGTGTGTGTGTGTGTGTGTGTGTGTGTTCTGTGTGTGCGCGCGCCGGGGTGCGTCCCCCCACCTCCACCCCCGCCCCAGTCCAGGCTCGCTCCCACCCCCTCCCCGCCCCCACCCGAGCCCGCTGAGCCCGGCGGCAGGAGGAGGACACGGACGGCCCCGGGGAGGAAGAGGACTAGGAACCTGCGCCCCCCTGGTGCCAGGGAGCTGTGTGGCGCTGTGCAGCAGGATCCGAAGGGGGATGGGACACAGCGGCGACCCCCAGCGCCCCCGCCCCACCGCGGCGCAGGGAGCGCCCCCGATCGCCCAACCTGGCTGCCGGCCGACGGTCCCGGACCAAGCTTCCGGAGCTGGCCTCGCCTGATCCCCGGCGGCTGCCCACTCCTCTTATCGGATTCCGGATCCCGCGCGGCGCCAGAGGTTCTCTCCCTGCTGACTTTGGCTCTCCTCCGCTCGGGACAGGCCTGCCGCTTGCCGGGCTTCCCGCCGGCCCCGCCACCCCTGCCGTTCCCTGCCGGAAATGTCCGGGTCACCTGTGGCCTCGCGCCCCGGCCCCGCGTCGCGGTCCGGGCTCCCGCTGGCTCCCTGCGGGCACCAGCAGCCCCGCGGCTTGCCCCGCACTTCTTCTCCCTCTGCTGCCCGCGCCTGAGTCTATGTCCGGACCCAGTGCTCCAGTTTGGGGCAGGGGATGGTCGTTGAAGGGATTTGTTTTTCCCGGGCCTTGAAAGGCAGGGGCCGGGAGACTCATTCCCAGCCCTAGACCGGATTTGAAAGCTGGGGTTTTTTTGTTTGTTTTTTTCTCTCCTTTCTTGGAGAACGGAATTCTTCGTCCCTTCCCCCTTCCAGCTGCGCCAGATGTTATCCACTGCTTAGAGAAACTCGGAGACTCGTCTGGGCAGTTCCTCTCAATCTGAACACCCACCCTAGCTAGGGAGCCTCGACCTCTCTCTCCCATCCCCCTCCCCCAATCCTCCAGCCAGTGGCCAGAAGTGGGCCCCAGGCCCATCCCATGCCCTGACTTTGAGGGCAGCTCTGGCGACGCCCCGACCTGGCTGGTGAGTCCTGGGGGGAGGGGCAGCTGGAACAGGCCCTGAGTTAGGGCTGTCCTCTTTGGGACCTCCTCCTCCGCCCACCCCAGGAAGGAGGGCCTAAAAGATGGGGAAAGTCTACTAGAAAAGGGATTTGGGAGGAGGAAGCTCATCTTGGAGGGAGGTGGAGAAGAGCAGAAGGGCCGCCTATTTGAAAATTGAGGGGGAACTTCCTTAGGCCCCAGGCCTAGGTGGGGGGTTCAGTAGGGTGTCTCCCTCCAGCTTCTTCCTCTGAGCCTGTGAAGCATTGGTCCCCTCTCCTGCTGTCGCTTGCAGTAGAGTTCTATACCCTTTTCCCCAATCCTTCTCCCCTTTCCTTCCAAGACAAACCAGCAGAGGGGACAGGTTGAGGGAAAGAGGAGTTTCAGAAAGCCCACAGAACTTCTGCCTGTTTTTTACCCTGGTGCAAAGAGATCTCCTGCTCCACTCCAGAGCAACCCACATCTCTGCCCTCCTCTGGAAAACGCTACTTGCTAAAGAACAGTGTGGAGAATGAAGGGTAGGCCCTGCTGCATCTGGAATCCTGTGTCCTGACATTCTGTGTTTCTCCCCTCTTGTATTTCCAATCTAAGACAAACTAGGAGTTTGGGGGGCTGTGGTTGTCACCCCCTCCCATACATCACAGGCCCCAGGGACATCACAAAAGACAACCTATTCCCTTCCATTCCCCATCCTCATCTCTGGCAGCCATCCATCTGAACCAGGGAGGGGGAAGTACCACTTCAGCAAGTGGACGACAGAATCCATCCCATCCATCCTGAATACACACAGATCCCGGAGCCCTAGCACCAGAGTTCTAGTTCTATTTAGCTCTCAGCTGAGTCCTGAGGGCTGCAAAGCTGGAACTTTTAACCCCTTCTTTTGCCTCTCTCTCCACTGGACTCTGCCCCTACTGATCAGTCGCCTGCCCTCATTCCCCTCCCTCTGGAAGTCTCTGCCCCATCAGGTGAACAGTCCCCAGACCAAAGGAAGAAAAGGAGAAAGAGCAGAGGGACAGGGACCTGGGCTGAGATCAGGTGGGTGTGGGCTGGGGCTGGGGCAGCTGGGGGGGGTGCCGTTAAAATGTGGAGATCTCCCTGGCTGAGAGGGGCTCCAAGGAGGCAGTGGCAGCGCGAGGCCCAGGGAGAGCAGCATGGACAGGCCCGTGGCAGCGTGGTGAAGCATGAACATCCGGAGTGCCCAGGACCACGGGCAGGCCAGTGACAACCCCAGTGGTGGTGGTGGTGGTGGTGGTGGCAGTGGTGGTGGTGAGAGAGAACGAATCCGAAGGCGAATGAAAATGGTCATCGGGCAGCTGGAGGGCATCCTGCAGGAGCTCAAGGAGGTGGCCAAAGAGCTGAGAGAGGTAAGGATGGGTGGTCGGGGGGAGAGCATGTTGGAGGGCTAGGCTGTGACTGAAGAGGTTCTCATCAGGAAAGTCATCTCAACATTTTTTCTGTTTAATTTCTTTTTGCTCTTCAGTTTAACTCAGTACCAAGAGAGTGTGTGCAAATTGTTACAAATTTTGACAGAGGTGGCTTCTAAGCCACAATTAGCATAAATGTCTCTTACCAAGTCTCCCTTCTCAAAAAAGCCTTCATTCCTGGAGTGGGGTGGGAAGAAGGGGAAAGGGAAGTGGTCTCTTATTTTCAGAGAATCCTGAACCCTAAAAGAGCTGTTCATCGAAATTGTACTCATGTCCTATTAGCCAGATCTCAGAGGAAGCAATCTTGCATTCACATTGGGGTGAACTCTTTCAGGGTGCCATTGACCAGTGGTTACAACACAGCACCAATGAGGCCAAGGTTACAATCTTATTCATCCAAGGAGTTGATTATATTCAAACACAGAGAGAGGAAACTGTTGCCCGGCCCCAGACTGACCACCCCATGTCCCCACAGCCACAGACTGACCTACCCCTAACCCACCCTCATCCCTAGTCAGTGCCTGACACATTTGCTATTGATCACAGGAGACATCATGCAAAAAAAAAAGTCAATGGTTTAATGTTCTCCATTTGTAATATGAGAAATACAGTTTACCTCCTGTAAGGTGGAGAGTAAAGAGCAATAGGTTCAGAATCAGGGAATTGAGTTTGAATCTCAGCTCCGCCATTTGTTATCCATCTGACTTTGTGCAAGTGACTTTCCCTCTGGGCCTCAGTTTCCCATGTGTCAGATGGGGGAGGGGTGGAATAAATGACCTATAAGGTTCCTTTTAGCTCTCATTGTGGCTGACAATGCCCTACTGACAGGGCTCAGGAGTTTCCCTTCAACATACAAAGGAAACCCCCACTTTAAAGATATGTAAGACCCTGAAAGAGTCAATTCATCCCTTCCCAGAACATGAGCCATTGCCTTCCCTCCTCCAGACTGGAGTCTGAGGAGTTTTGTGGGTCTTATTTAGACTGATAAGTATGTGGCCAGTTGGGACAGACCTTAGCAGTGTGAAGCAAGGCATCCTTGCTTAGGATCCCCTTGGTAGGAACTGCCCCAGGGCAAATTGCCCAGACAGAATTGTATCTTGGTATGATATGTGGGTTGAACCCTCCCTCTCCCCTATCTCCAGTGCTTCTGGGACCAGAGATGGAGAGGGATACAGAAGGGGGAGGGAGGAGGCAGGCAGAAGAACTGACTCGAAGGGCAAAGGATTGCCTGAAGTAGGGCATGTGAGTACCTTTGCAGGACAGAGAGCTAAGAGATTGTGTGTGTGTGTGTGTGTGTGTGTGTGTGTGTGTGAGAAGTTTGATTTAGTTTCTACTCCCAATATATCAGTAGAAATGAAGTGCATCTGCCCCCCGCTTGGGTAGCATTGAAGCCCAAAATACATAATCCCTCCCTTCTCTAGCTGTTAATTCCTACTAGCTAGCTGGATTTGCCCCCAGAGTGACATTTCTGCAGGGCCAGGTGGGTTTTAAGCAAATGTAGACTCCATGTAACCAGGGTGTGCCAGAGGGGTTGGGGGGACACATCAATTGAACTAGAATGATGGGTCCTGGCAGTCCTTTCTGCAGCTTTCCAGGCCTGTCAGTCCCCCAGACTGGCACTAGAAAAGGGAGGAGAGAGATGGGCACCAGTGCATGGGCTGCTCAAGTGGAAACTTCAGAAAGATGAAATGGAGGATGTACCTGTGGGCATTAGACTTTGTGGTGCACCCATATCAGCTTCCTGGGGATTTGCTCCTTGGAGTCAAGCCAGGGCACCTTTGCCTTTGGCCCTGAGACTTTCTCCTCTAACCTGTGCTTTAGGAATATCAATTTGACAGCTGTGTGGAGACTGGATTGAAGAGGGGGAGAGGTTGAATGCAGGGGTACCATTTAAGAGGTGTTGCAATAGTCTAGATGAGACTTGATGAGGACCTGAACTGGGGTAGTCTGGGTATGAGTGGAGAAAAGAAGAACAGAGATGTTGGGGAAGTGGAATTGAAAAAACTTAGCAGCTGATTATAGAGAGGGGGTATGGTCTGTTGGCCAGAAGATATTTATTAAGCACATTCTATGTGCCAGGCACTATGCTAAGTGCTGAGGATACACAGAAAAAAAAAATTTAAATGGCCCCTGCCCTCAAGGAGCTGACATTCTAATGGAAATGACATAAAACAGCTATGTAAATACAAATGGCACAATGGATAGAGCTCTGGGCCTGGAGTCAGGAAGACCCGAGTTCATATAGAGCCTCAGACACTAACTAGCTGTGTGACCCTGGGCAACTCACTTAACCCTGTTTGCCTCAGTTTCCTCATCTAGAAAATGAGCTGGAGAAGGAAATGGCAAACTGCTGCAGTATCTTTACCAAGAGAACCCCAAAATAGGGTCATGAAGAGTCAGACATGACTGAAACAACTAAAGAACAACCTCTATATTGTTATATACAAGTAGTATGTAGAGTAGTAGTCAACAATCTGCAGAGGGAAGACATTAGCAGTGGAGGAGAGTTGGAAAGGCCTCCAACAGGCGGCATGATTTAAGCTGAGTTCTGAAAGAAGGCAGGAGGCAGAAAAGAGGAGAGTGAGCATATTAGGCATGGGGATAGCCAGTAAAAAGGCAAAGAGTGTCATGTGAAGTATGAACAAGAACATCAGAAAGGCTGGTGTTGCCAGATTGTAGGCTATATGAAGAGAATAAAGTAGTAGAAAGACTAGAAAGATGGGAAGGAGGCAGGTTGTAAAGGTGCTGAGGGCCTGTTCCAGAGTAGTGGCAATGTCAAAAAAGAGAAGGGATCATTTATGACAAATGTTGTATGGACAGAGGCAGCAGGACTTGGCCACAGAATGGATATGTAGCATGAGTGTGAGTGAGAAGTGAGGATAACACTGAGGTTTTGAAGTGACAGTGAGGGAGAGTAAAGAGTCATGGATGATTTCTAGGTTACAAACCTAGGCACAGCGGCGCCCTTTACAAAAAACAGAGAAGTTAAGAGGAAGAGTGGATTGAGAGGGAAAGATGATGAATGCTGTTCTGGACATGATGAGTTTGAGATCCCCATGGACATATTGAGGTGGAGATGTCCATTAGGAAACTCAAGTGAGTGATGAAGGATGGATACATAGATTTGAGAGGCATCTGCATAGAGAAGATAATTGAAACCATGGAAGCTGATGAGATTACCCCGATAGTACAGAGAAAGGAGGGGACTCAGGATGGCTCATCTGGTTCTCTCTCCCCTTCCAGACACGCAGAACCAAGCTCAGGAATTTCTCAAGTATAGGACCACAGAATCAGGCAACTTCAGTGTTGGAAGTGACTTCAGAAACATCCCAGCCATTCTTAAGCAAGAATCCTTTTTACATCATATCTCACAAGTGTTGATTCACCCTTTGGAAGTAGCTATACTGGACCTTGAGTCAGGAAGACCTGAGTTTAAATCTGATCTCAGACACTTATTAGTTCTCTGACCCTGGGCAAGTCACAACCTCTGCCTTCCTCATTTTCCCCATCTATAAAATGGGGTTGATAATAACACCTACCTCCCACGATAATTTTGAAGCTCAAATGAGATATTTGTGAAATACTTAGCACAGGCCTGGCATATAGTGGGTGCTCAATGAATGCTTTTTTCCTCCTTCGTTTGTTTGAAGACCTCTAGTGAGGAGGGATGGGGAAGCAAGACATGGCTAGACAACAGTTCCTGTGAGAAAAGTGTTGGAGAGAAGACGTTGCAAGGGCAGTACGAATCAATGGTGTGACAGGGCCCCCCACCACCAAAAAAAAAGTTAATGTGATCTCAGGCTGCTTTAAGAAAATCCAAATCAGGACTAAAGCAGTGACTGTCTCTTATACTCTGCCTTGGTTGGACTACAACTAGAGAATTGTAGTCAGTTCTGGACCCCAAATTGTAGGAAGGACATTTACAAACTAGTGTATACAGAGTAGGGTAATTAGTATGGCCAGTAGACTAGAGAATATGCCCAAGTAGGATTGGTCAAAGGAACTGATGATGTTCAGCCTGGAGAAGAGAAGACTTAGGAGGAATACGATAGCTGTTTTCAAGTATTTGTAGGGATGTCATGGAGAAGGATTGGGTATGTTTGGCACCAGTATGTAGAATTAGGAGTGTACTCTCTCTGTCAGTGGGAGAATGAGTGAACATTCCAGAGAAGAAAATATGGACTTGATATTGGGAAAATTGTCTAATTGTTAGAGCTATCCATTGGTGGAATGAGTTGACTGAGTGGCCATTTGTTAGGTATCTTGTAGGGGGAATTACTGTTCGGTATGGGTTGGACCGCAGGCCCCTGAGGTTCCTTACTGTTCTATTAGTCTATGTCTTGGTGAAAGATCAGTTTCATTTATGTTGCCATCCTCCTGGTGTTCTATCAAGCCCATTCCTTTGAGAGATCCTGGCCATCGAGCCTCTGTACCTATTGTCTTTGAGTCTAGTCTGGGCAGTAATGACCTGGCCATGGTGCTGCAAGTGACTGGGGAGATTAGTGGCTCTGGGAAGTGAGTGGTTTCCTCTATATTCTACTTCCCTGCTTAGGGTTCTGGGCACCAGACTGTATCAGTGGAGTGGGTGGAAATAGGGAACATCTCTGTCTCTGCCCCTACCCTCTGCCATTAAAAGAAAGAAAGAAATGAAAAAGAACATAGCCCCCACACAACCCAGCAAGGGCAGAAAGAAGGGAGAGCTAGAGCTTTGGGGCAGTGTGGCAGACAGAGGGAAACAGATCTGATATGATGTTTCTCAAATTTACAATCCAAAAGATGCTATATTGGTGTCAAGTGATCTGGTAATTTTCTCTTCCTGAAGTCTTCCTTTGCCTCCATTCCCCTCCATCCTTCCTATCAAGCACCAGCGCTCTCAGGAATGACCAGTAACCACATGGCCACCTGGGATCATTCACAGCCCTGAGCTGAGCCTGGGTCTT